TTGTTATTAAAAAGCATTTGTGAAGAACAGATCAGATGTCTTGACCTGAAAGACCATAAGAATATACTTTTGTTAGTAAGGGTATAGAAGAAGTCATTTTAGCTGATGAAGTTTTCTTAGCTCTTAAATGAAAAAAATGAAAGTGTGAACCAATTAATTCTAATACATTGTTTGTATTTTTAAATGAATGGGAAAAGCTTAAATTTGAGGGGGAAGTTTGATGACTTTAAATATCAGATGAATGCCCAGAAAACCAGTTTCTGGTGTTGCAGATCACACCATTTGAAAAACATTCCCATAAATTTGCCTACTTTCCTGGCAGATCGCAACAGCATTAAGCAAGACAAAGCTGCATCTGCTGGATTTTACCATGTGCTGCTTTGCAAAGCAGAGAGACTCCATGGGGAAGGGGATAATAGGGCTCTGTGCCTGCTGCTCACTCCATCACAAACAAAATAGTGCATTTTCTGACCCCTCTCCACCTTGCTTGCCTGTTTACTGTTTTTTTTACTATAACCTTGAGAGCACTGTGGAATCAAAGTTGTTTGTTTTAAAGAGAGGCAGGGAGTCCCCAAGTAAGCAACAGCCTTTTAAAACGACATTCTTAAGCATACTTATCAGGAAACAAGTCCAACTGAGTTCAGTGGGACTTTTCTCTGTAAATAAATACACAAATTAAATACTGTGTAAAACATGTCCTAGAGTGTTTGTGGGGAGAAAGACATGTGATTCTAGAGGAATACTGTTGTATTTTGCAATAGAAAAAAGGGGCAAAGTATTGTGAAGCAGATTTATTATGGAATATCTGTTTTGATTTTGCCCGATACTTTTCAGGTTTTTTTGGTCTATGGATAAGGTCTTGTAGAAGGTAATGCTGCATAATTGTCTCTTAGTCTCCCATATGTAATCCAGTTGATTCATGACAACCTCAGCTCTTTCTTTGTCTGTCTCTTTGACAGTGCTCTGATTATGCTTTGAGGCTACAGGTGGCATTAGAATCATAGAATTATAGAATCATAGAGTAATGGAGTTGGAAGGGGCTTATAAGGCCATCGAGTCCAACCCCTTATTCATTGCAGGAATCCAAATCAAAGTATATCTGACAGATTAGTGTATTGACTCTTGAGTGCCTGCAGCGTTGGAGTGCTCACCACCTAGGCAGTTTACAATTTAATTATGTAGGCAACACATCCTTGCCTCCCACCACCCCCCGCAACAAGCTGGGTACTCAGTTTACCAACCTTGGAAGAACTGAACGTTGAGTCAACTTCAAAACGGCTACCTGAGCCCAATATCGAACTCTGTGAGCAGAGTCTTCATTGCAATACTGCAGTTCACCCACAAGACTCTGTGGATAAGCACTCTCTGGGTACAGTTCTGTGTATCCACTTGATAGTTGTTCTATGCAACCTACACCTAGTTAGCTTGCCAATCAGAACTTCAAGGAACACTTTGTCAAAGCTTTGCTGAAGTCAAAGATATATGATGTCTATAGAATTTCCACCATTTACCAGGGAGTTACATCATCAAAAAGATAGATAAGGTTAATCTGGCATTAGATTTTGTTTGTTTTGATAAATCCATGTTGGCTTTTAATTATAACTGCACTGTCTTCAAGGTGTTTACAGAGCGACCACTTTTATTTCCCATACTTTTGCAATTAATATATAGGCATGGGAGAGTGTGTGATTTGTGGTCTGTTTTCCTTCGTACATTTTTATGAAGACTATTATTGGGCCTCATTAGAGCTGCTTATTCTGTTATTCTTATTGTGCAGCATAAGCCTTCATCAGTCTTTACCTCTGAGTTTGTTTCTCCCTCTGTGAGGAGCAGGAGAGCGGTAGGGACAATAAGGCTGCTATCAGTTCACCTCTCACCTGGACCCACCAAGTTTCAGACCTCCAGTTTTCCCGTCAACCCGGGAGAGACAGTTCTCGAATATGATGAATAAGGAGAAAAGGAAAGCAAAGGAAACAGAAGAAGCCTGTGGAAAGAGGAATAGCTCCTAGAGCAGACCTGGGCAAAGTGCGGCCCGAGGGCCACATATGGCCCGCGAGCCGCTCCTGTCTGGCCTGCCGGTCGTCGCTCCAGTCCGGTGTTCAAGCATTTGTTCAAGCCCAACACAGACTGGATTTCTCTCGCTGAACCAGCTGAACAGCAAAACCATTTACAACTTTTTGTCTAAAGTTGATCAGTTGCTTATCTTTAACATACCGCAAAAAAACCTATTTAGTATTTATGAAGATTAACAAGTTTAAAATCAAAACAATCATAACATCACTGTTTCATTTTATTTTTAAGTAAAGTTGGTTCGGCCCCCGAACACAGTTCAGATTTTTCATGTGCCCCCCCCTATAGAAATTAATTGCTCATCTCTGTCCTTGAGGAAGAAAAGGGTACCTGGGAGATGAAATATATAAAGGAGAGTTAGAAGCAGGAAGGGAAGGAACCAAAGGAAAGGAAAAGGAGATAGTCAAAGGTGAGACAGACATTACCGAGAGGACACAGGGAGCCTTAGATAAGGGAGAATCAGAAAAGGAGGAGAGTTTGGGTGATGCTGTTGAGGAACCCTGAGAAAAGTCATGCTTAATAGATATAGAGACTTCTGAGGAGAGAGAACCCCAGAGAAAGTGGGAAGACATTTTGAAGGAAGACCCATGGACTGGAGAGACTATCCTTTTAAGAGTACCTGCCTGCCTGCCTGCCTGCCTGCCTACCTACCTACCTACCCACCTACCTACCTGCCAATATTTTTACCTGCTTTTTTCCTTAGAAAGGGACCCGAAGCAGCTTACAACAATTAAAAGGCAATATTTAAATAATTAACAATACTAAAAGGATTAATGAATGCAATACCAAAAAATCCATAAGCAGCACCAAAACACATTCAATGTAGTAAGGTACAGTACAACAATCCATTTTAAAAACCCTACTCACTCACCTAAGGAGGAGGCTGAGCATCACCAAAAACCACAACCACTTCGGAAGCCCTCCTTTTGCAGAGAAAGTGAAGAGAAGGAGAGATGGCCATCATGGCCAAGTAGGAGCTTCACAAGGACGCCTGCCAGCCAAACCAAGTCTGGCTGAATACTTGGGAGAAGGCCTGCCAGACTCCACAGCACCATGAATGGGGGAAAGTAAGAAGGGGGGATTCTCTAGTCTATTCCTGTTGAGATCCTATGAACCATCTCTGCTGCAACACTAATTTAAAACAGGTCCATGGAACAGTCATGGACAAGGACCTTCATCGATAGACATAAATAAAGGGGCTGCAACCTTGAACTTAGGGAAAGATGTACCTGTAGGTGTTCACTGGGCAATGTTAAAAAGTGTTTTAGAACTGTTTAATGTAGGATCTGTTGATAAATTCTGATTCAATAAATCCTGTTTGTCTGAGTAAAACTATGTCTCATTATACGGAACAAAGCATGGAAGAGGGAAATCTAATTGGATTCATGGTAGTGGAGATGGGGAGTGTTTCATACCGCTCCGCTTCCAATTCAGTTTACACATTCTTTACACATTGTTGTAAATTCAGTTTACGCATTCATACACATTCTTGCTGGTCCATGTGAGATGCAATCCATTAATTGCCAGCACTCCATCTTCCAGGAAGCGAGTCCGATGGTCCCAAAATCCTAATCCTTCGCATTGGCACCACCTTCATAGCCAGTTGTTCACCCAGAACATTTTGCTGTCTCTTTCTATTCCTCTTCTGAGTACTGGTAGGATGGACGAGAAGATTATCTGGCCCCTCAAATCCTTGAGTTTCCTTCTCGGAGCTTCAGAGTCTGATGTGATCCCTTCATAGTTCATCTTGGCTCTATCATTTGTTCCCACGTGGATGAAAAGAAAGGGATATGCATCTATCAGTTTTATTACACTCCAACTTGCTGAGATTTTGTAGCAAGTTATGCTTCTTGCTGATTATCTCAGCTTGTGTATTTGGAGTGCAGTCAATCCAGAAATCCAGTTCTTTGTTCCAGTTTTTAGGAGGAGCCCATACAGAGTTCTTCTGCCTGTAACAATGAGGAGGGTTGCTGTGTGTTGGTGTGATATCCTGCAAAATGCTCTGGAGACTAAGACAATTATTAAAATTGTATTTATTTATTTAAAATATATCTATACCACCTTTCTCCCCAAGAGGATCCAAGGTGGCTTACAGTTCTGGGCCAAGACATTGATTGTTCTTAAGGTCATTGAAGCATTCTCTGAGTTGAAGACCTCCAAGTTACTGCAGGGTTGGGACATCTGTAGAATCTTGGTCAGATGGAAGAGTAAGCCTGTGAAGGAACCAACTCCCAGATTCAGTGTGCTGCTAGAAAAATTTGCAATATTGTTGTACGTCCATGGTATTTTTGTTGTGGTGTTCTTGCTGGTGGATCTCTCTGCCCAGACACAAGATTCAATGGCACAGATAGGCCATCTCCCCACCCTCCATAATTCGCCCGGCCTCTGTGTCCATGCGTGGGTGTGATTTGGGCAGCATTACCTGTTCAGCTAGCTATTAGTAACCATTAATGAGCTGTCACTTAGCGGAAGCCCAAACTTATTGATTGCCTATTTGCTCACAATTAAGAGAAAAGGAGAATAGTTGACTCTGGTGAGCGGACTGGCCTAGAGAGTCAATAGCACAGCTTGATAATTGGATGTTTGCTGCAGTAACATCTCTTTTGCCTGTGATCTGCCTGTCTGTTCTAATCTAAACAAATGCTATGCTCCCATATCACTAAAACACAATAGTTCTGTTTTGCTGTATCCCTCTCCAGCTGTAGACATGACAGAAGAGACTGAAATGGCAGTAATAGTGAAGCAAACATACATACATGTTAGAAATCTTAAGTTCATACCATATCTGCCCTCCTGTTCACCAAGGACAGTTTATACTTGATGGATTAGTGTGTAAACAGAAGCCAGGTAACAGGGACATTTAAGTGACGTAAGTCGGCAATCCTGTACTTACTTCGCTGGGAAATCCCACTGGATTCAGTGGGACTTACCTCTGAGTAAACATGCAGAGGATAGCGTTGAGAAGGTCATCTTTATAAAATGCAGAGTCTTAGTTGTGCAATCCAATCTTCTGTTAGCTTTTCATTCTCTCAGCTTCTGGCATGTTAAAGGAGCTAATGAAGAGAGGAGGCACTTGAAGAGGATACAGATTAAGTTGTGAGTCAGAGATATTCCAAATGGCCTTGACATTTTTTTAAGGGGAACTGGAAATTGCAACTGTTAAGAGATAAACAGGTTAATAAACAAATATTAGGATTCATCACAGTTTGTAACCCAGAGGCTGCTTCCCAGTATAATGCAGATTCCCAGATATCCAACAACAGCTCTCCAGCCATTTGATTAAAAAGAATAACTAATTTTGATGCTTAACTGAAGGCTAGACTAAACATTGCACTGGCCTTGCCATTAGGCGGAATGAAGCAGCTGCCCCTGTAGGAAGTGTCTGGGAGCAGTGAGTGTCTGGGAGATGGTGAGGAACAAATTTTGGGGTGACATTCAGTTGGCTCTGCACCCTTTAACTTCATCTGCTGCTCTCAGGAGTAGTAGAGAATATTATCCCTCTCTCCATCATAAGGCTTGAAGAAACAGGATTCAGCTGCCAGCCCAGACAACTTATGAGGTGGGAGGAAACACCTTATTTTTCAGCTCAGGCAGCCAACTGTCTTGAGCTGGTTGTGACTAAACATCGGCCCAAATCCTGTTGCTACCCATAGTTAGGCCTGTTGAATCAGTGGGGATTTGGTGAGTCAATTCCTCATAAGTTACATTGATTATTAAAGAATGCAAATAGGGTGCTTTGGGGCTGAAAGGGTTAACCCTTTCCTTCCTTGCTGTGGTGCCAAGGAAAATCCTTTCTCTGAAGGTGTTATTTGTCTTCTGAAGAGATGTACCACTGAGGCTGGGGCACCTGACCCCTCAAAGTAAGTGCCAGAAAACTCTTGTGTTTCCGCCACTTACATCTTCATGCCAGGAAAAGATTCACCTGCCAAATTTCTGTTTACTAGCCTGCTGCAAAGGCCACAGGGTTTTTGAACACAGGAGTGTGGTTCTCTAAATGTTTTTGTTGGATGGCACTACCTGTCAGCCCTAGTTGGCAAAGTCATTGATGGGGAATGATAGAAGTTTCAGTCCAGCCACATCTACAGGACCACACATTCCCCATCCCTGATTTTCGACAATAGCAGTGCTTGACTGGGATACTGAACCAACTCACTACCACATATAGTGGCTTTTACTGGTGCGTGAACGCACAGAGCTCATGACGAGGGTGTGGCAACTGGGGCTTGGCCCCTGGGCATCAAAACCCAGCAGGCATTGATGAAACCTTGAAATGTGTCTACTGGTGAATGTTCAGAAAACAAACAACTCAACACCTCTCAGCCCTATTTACTTCCACAGGGGAGTCCCAAGGTCTCTCACCACTTGGGCAGGAAGCAAAGCATTGTCCCCAGCAAGATACCATTGCAGCATCACCCATACTGCATGGGTGTATTGTGTGTAAGAGGAGGAGATTGTAGTAGTAGTAGCAGCAGTGGGGGGCTCTCCATTGCACCAAAGAAAGAAGAGAAAAGGAACGGGCCAGTTGCTAGTGGGAGGATCCCTATGGAGAGGAAACGCTGCCCAGGCTTCTGGACATGCCTGAGCTTGGGCATGGGTTGGAGGTGTAGCAGCTGGAGTTGGGGGAAAGAGGAGGGGCATTGGTAGTTCACCGGCTAGAAAGAAGGAAACAAAGAAAGGTACTGGTCCTTCTTCTCTTTATTGGAGGCAGACAAGATTGTCCCTACCCACCATGCTGCTGAAATTTTCTTCCTTCTTGCAGAATAAGCAAGGGCACTGAGCACAAATTTTACATGCCACAGCCATGCTGGTCCTCATGCTTGGCTGGTAGGACAGAGGACAAGCACAAAGCCATTATGTTGTTCCTTTCCTTTCTTTGGAATTATAAACTTTATCTTCCTGTTTGTGTGTGCGCGCACACTCATGCACCACATTGTCTTCCTCTTTTCTTTTCTTTTTGGAGAGTTCATGTCCATGGTTCGGGCTCAAGTGAGTAGGAAATGTTGATGCTTGCCCTGTTTGGCAGAATTGCTAATTATTATTTGAACACACACATCTCTATGATTGTATAATCTTAACAATGCAGGTGATATATTTAATCACTAATAGTGGTGGGGCTGGTGGCAGAAGCCTTATCTCAAGTTGGGAGTGACAATAAGCAGTGTTGCAGTTGGATGCTGGAGAGAACAAGTCATTCGCTCTGCAATCAGGGATGGTTTATGGCTATGCCTTGGCCCTTGAAAGAGGTAGCAGGATGAGTCCTCGCTTGGTTTAAGGATACAACCCTCTGCCTCCTCACTTAAAAGGAAGCTCCATTATACCAAGTGTGCAGAATTGGATTGCAATAAACCTCTCAGTAGCTATGATTCATTACCAGGTTTGGAGGCTTAAAAAAAAAACAAGCATTCTTTATAGTGAGTTGGTGAAATCAATTACAAGAAAGAGATAAGGACCTAGAGCATAAGATAAGAAATTAAAGGCATAATAAGCAAGGGCAGGGTGAGGGTAGAATCTAAGAGAAAACCCAGAAGCATGCAAAAAGTCCACATTTCTTTCTGACAGGCTGAGGCAGAACTGGAGTCAGGGCTGGCAGTGTATAAACTCCACCACTTTGTGATTAGCAGGGATAATGATACCATCTGTTACTGCCACCCTCAGTCTCCTTTCTGAGCTTGACGACAATTCACACACACGCACGCGCATGCGCACGCGCGCACACACACACACACACACACACACACACACACACACACACACACACAGAGGCTGTGCATAGTGGAAGAACATGGATTTTTCCCCATGACCAACATATTATTGTCAGCTGACTCTGCTTAGAATTGCCATATTCCAGTTATCTGAAATTGGATATGCTCATTTGCATATTATGCAGATTAGACCATCCAATTTGAATAATATACGAATGTGCACTATGTGCTACTTAATGTGGACTTTTCATATGATCCACATTAAATATATTAATTGTTGCATCGTTTTTCTACTAATGTATTTTAGTCTTGGCATCGTCTGTATAGTAACTGTCGATCCGAGAGAGCCAGTTTAGCGCCTCGGTCAATACAGTAGGAGGATGTAAATCCAGATACCTCCTTAATCACTGAGCTTATGTGGTTTCTTTGGGCTTGTCAGTATTTCTCAGCCAAATCTACCTTATATGTTTTTTTTTAAACAAAACATGGAGAGGGGAGCTAGGTAAAGCAGCCATATACAGTATATGGCTGGTGCATGTAAACAAATGATGACATTTTGCCAAAGTGCATTGGCTATACTGTGGTACCCTCGTTAATGGGTTTTATTTTGCCATCAGTTTTCACTGATGGTGAACCTCTACAGATCCATGAGAATATCACAGGAACCCCGCAAAAAAAGGCACACTGTCACCGGATTTGTGACTTGCAGAGAACAAAAATACAGCAGAAAGTCAGGGTAAGCTATAGAAATGGAAGAGAGGAGTGTGGCTTCCTTCAGAGAGGCAGGTTGAATACTTTATTATATCTAGAAAATATTCTCGCTTTGCCATTTTTGACTTTTCATAGATGCACATGCAGGAAAGCAGATGCCATTCCAGCACGCCATCTGCTTCCTAAACCTCCAGCCCCGTTTGCTGCGGTTTCATCATTTCACTGCTGTGTTGTATTAGGAATGAGATTCATTGCAGGGCTTGAAATTTTGCTTTTTGGACTTAAGTACCCAGAACCCCTCAGCCAGAACAATCCGTCACCTTCTTGGGTGGATGATCCCGGGAGTTATAATCCAAGAAAGCAACCCGGGCAATTGGTGCTTTCTAATGATTGCAATATATCTATTCCCCTACTCACATTTACCGAGATCTAAGACCTATTTATTTTAGTAGGACATATATCTTGAGTAGGATAGTTCAAGGAACCATAGCAAGACAAATACATGTATAATCAGTTGTTCAAAAAGGCATTATAGATAGAAAGAAAACATGCTTGACTGTCTGGAACTTCTTTCTAGAAATCTTAAGATTAAAAGTAGCAACAACAGCAACAGAAGCCACTGGTAATGGTGCAGCTAAAAAATACTGTAAATAAAATTAAAAAATAAATAAAATAAAACAACAAGCACTAACGTCTACTAATTTATACTTCCTCCCCCCCGCCCGTTGCTGTACATTTCCACAAGGCATCATCCACCTAAACTTTCAGTTAAATAATTCCCAGAAACATGTGGGAAATAAACTGGAACATAATGTTTCTGGAAGACTATAAATTATAGGCTCACTTGTTTATAGAGTTGTAGAACTTGGAGGGATCCTAAAGATCACTGAGAGATACTCCACCTGGTAAAACAGGAAATGCAGCAAGATGCATAATGTCAGAGCTTTGAAACCTCCTCCTCCTTCTGAGTACAGCTCCCATAACCCCCTACCAGTATTCATTGCTATAGGTTAATTGCTTTCTGTGCACTGCCTGTACAGAAACAGTGCAAGCAGCCCTGAAAACAGTTTTCTTCAAATAAAGTACATTTTTGCTATTTTCAAAAGGACAAATTCTCACAATTGCAACATGTGCCCAGTTCTGTGGCTGATATCTCTGCAGATGGCTTTGCTTATGCACCAAAACCCTGTTGCGCAGCTATGCATGCATAATATAAAGCTGCAGAAGCAGTAGAAGAATTGCAGCAGGGAAGAAATAATATCTCCAAAGCATTTTCACAGGTGTGTCACACAACAGTTCCAACATAAACTGCACAACCAATTGTAACACCATGGTATGAACCCTGTGGTCAATTGGACAACCAAGATGTGATCTGCACAATCAGTGGCCAAAGCTCTTGCAGCCCACACAAGCCAGACCAAGCACTGGGAATAAGGGTCCCCCCCCATGCTTTTGGTAAGTCAACTTCTGAGAAGCCAGTTGGCCAGTGATTTTGATACCCACGGTCAGTTTGCAGTTCTCTGGAAAATTTCCACCATTCAGCAGACAACAAACAAGTTGCCACTAACACAACGATAATCATGTCTTTAAGAAAGCAAAACTCAGATAGCGCCCTCAAATGCATTGAACAGTGTGAGTGTGGGATCAAGTAAAACACTCTGGCTGGGTATTGTAAAGAGCTCAACAAGAAAGTTTCAATAAGAAAGTTTCAATAGTGAAATGGAGCTTATAAGAAGGAGTTAAATTCAAGATTCTACCATGAGTGGACCCCATTAAAATCAATAGACCTAAGTTAGTGTTGACTAACAGAACCATTCATTTCAATGAGTCTACTATGGGTGACATTAATATTGGATTTGCCCCATGTGGAAAAGGAGGAACCCCTTTCTGCATACCTTCTTTAACAGCCAGGAGATCTAATACTTATCATGTGTGGAAATTTAAGGGGTGTGAAGGGGCTTGTGTCTTGAACCCATAGGCATTAAGGTGGAAATATTTGTATTAAAGGATGGAGAATAGCACAATTCATTATCCAGGCATGCTGTATGGCAGTGGTCCCCAACCTTGGGCCTCCAGATGTTCTTGGACTTCAACTCCCAGAAATCCTGGCCAGCAGAGGTGGTGGTGAAGGGTATTGGTATTAAACAGTGGTCAAAATCCTACTGTGGTTTTATGCCAACATTGTGTGACTCGTGTGTTCAAAATGCAGGCCGCAAATGTAAGTCAGGAGTGCAGATTTCAAATTCTACTTGTGGGGGCTGTTGACCTTTTTTCCCCCTTTCTTTTCTTTTTCTCCCCCCTCCCCCAGTTTTTGTGCTCTAATGGAGGTATTTAATCAAGCCTTTTGTATTACTTAAGGATCACACCACTTTATTTATTTATTTTTAAATGGCTATGTAGTTTTTCATTTTCAGGGGAAAAATAGTGTTGATAAAACTTGAGGGTCAGATGCATGTCTTCTCCTCAGTTTCCATGGGAACGTTTAGTTAAAGAAGATTCATGAGAAGACATCATTGTGATAAGTGGTTTTCCCATCGCCATCCTGCTTCGTCTACTGCCACTGGGAGTGAAGAAATGCTGAACATTTTTTACATGTGGATCCCACCTTTCCTCCATTGTGCTCAAAGTGGCATACCTGGCTGTCCTTCACAGTTATCTGTGGAGGGGGCATGGCAATAGGGTATCTGCCCCTCAGGTGTAAATGTGTGCATTGTTTTATCAGCCATATTGTAGTGGTGTGTGCCATGCACTCAAATTATGATAATGTCCAACTGTGCATGTTGCCCACTGCTTTTGAAAAAAACTTTTGCAAAGGTACTTTTTTTCCACCCCTCCACTTTATCAACACAGCAAGTTCATAATGTAATGTTGCATGCCTGTCATGGATTAGCAGGCAGAAAGGCATCTGTGGCAACCATCCATTGACAGTAACCTTTAGCTTGGCAAAATCTGTGTGACCGGCACCAGGCTGTTTGAATAGAGTGATATTTTTGATTTCTTGAAGGTGTTTAAAAAAGGAAGGAGGGGGGACCTGGGAAACTACAGGCCAGTTAGCCTAACGCCTGTTCCAGGGAAGATAGTGGAAAGCCTCGTCCAAGATAAAATCTTAAAACACATAGAAGAACAAGCCTTGCTGAGAGAAAATCAGCATGGCTTCTGTAAGTCTTGTCTCACAATCCTTTTAAAATTCTTTGAAAAGGTCAACAGGCATGTGGATGCAGGCGAAGCAGTGGATTTTCAGAAGGCGTTTGACGCAGTCCCACAGCAAAGGCTGCCGAGAAAACTCCACAGTCAGGGGATAAGAGGGCAGGTCCTCTTATGGACTTAGAATTGGTTGAGAACCAGGAAACAGAGAGTAGGTGTCAATGGGCAATTTTCACAATGGAGAGAGGTGAAGAGCGGTGTGCCCCAGGGGTCTGTCCTGGGATGGGTGCTTTTCAACCTGTTCATCAATGACCTGGAGACGGGATAAGCAGTGAGGTGGCCAAATTTGCAGATGACATGAAACTTTTCTGGGTGGTGAAGACCAGAAGGGATTGCAAAGAGCTCCAGGAGGATCTCTCCAAACTGGGAGAATGGGCAGCAAAATGGCAAATGTGTTTTAATATAAGAAAATGTAAAGTAAGTAATGCACATTGGGGCAAAAAAAAAACTTTAGTTATCAGCTAATGGGTTCTGAGCTGTCTGTGACGGACTGGGAAAGAGATCCTGGTGTGCTGGTGGTGGACAGCTCAATAAAAGTGTCAACCCAGTGTGTGGCGGCAGTGAAGAAGGCCAATTCCATGCTAGGTATCATTAAAAAGGGGATTGAAAATAAAACAGCCAACATTATATATACAAAACACTGGTAAGACCGCACCTGGAATATTACATACAGTTCTGGTCATGGCACCTCAAAAAGGGCATCATGGAACTGGAAAAGGTGCAGAAGAGAGTGGCTGAAATGATGACTGGGCTGGGGCACCTCCCTTATGAAGAAAGGCTACAGCGTTTGGGGCTCTTTAGTCTAGAGAAAAGGCACCTGATGGGGGACATGATTGAGATGGATAAAGTGGATAGAGAGAAGCTCTTTTTCCCTCTCACGCAATACTAGAACCAGGGACATCCAATCAATTTGATTGTTGGGAGAGTGAGAACAGAGAAAAGAAAATATTTATTTACCCAGAGTGTTGTTAGTCTGTGGAACTCCGTGCCACAGGATTTGGTGATGGCACCTGGCCTAGATGCCTTTAAAAGGGGATTAGACAGATTCCTGGAGGAAAAGTCCATTGCAGGTTACAAGCCATGATGGGGATGCATAACCTCCAGGCTTAAAAGGAAGGTACTTCTAAATGCCAGATACAGAGGAGGGGTATCAGGAGACAGGCATCTAGTTGTCTTATTTACTCCCAGAGGCCTCTGTTGGGGCCACTGTGAGATACAGGAAGCTGGACTAGAAGGGCCCTTGGCCTGATCCAGCAGGGCTCTTCTTATGTTCTTACGTTATGAAGGTGGGTATAGAAATGAGAGAGATGAGAAGAAGGGATTCAGGAGTGTCAATACGAGGGCAGCCCGCTAGAAGGGGAAGTTGGGACCCAAATGCTAAATAGATTCTGTTAGAAATCCAGGGTCCTAATAGTGGTAATGGTAGAAGGAATTACATTTGTAGATTTCTCATTATGACAAAAAAAAAGCAAGGGTGGGGTTTCTGTTAACAACAAAAGCCACATGTGGGTGTGGCATGCTGCTTGCCTTCCACTGTGTCTGTCCTCCACCGTACTTTCCTTTTCAGATGAGAATAAAAGATGAGGCCTGCCCTGGGCCAGAAGCATTTAGAGAGGGTTTGCGGAGATGTGAATGTGAGCAGGGAGAGGATCTGGGAGTCTTCCTCCTCTGTCCCCCTTTTGCTGCTTAAAAAAACAATTCCTTTCACTCTGCTAGCATCCCATTGCCCCAAACGTTAGGATTGTCACTTTAAACTAATTCAAAGCTGGTTGAGAAATGGCACACTGCAAATCTAAATTAAATTCTCTCCTTGATGAATGTGTGACGAGAAATTGGATTGCGAAGTCTTATTTCCAATTTTATTGCGCTTAAATCAATAAGAGGGGGGGGGGACTTCTTGTCAGTAAAACAAATTAGGTTCTCACCAACATGTAAATAATAAAAGTTGTTATTCCACGCTAATACTGATAAGGGCATAGTGAAATTGACTCTCTCTCTCTCTCTCTCTCTCTCTCTCTCTCTCTCTCTCTCTCTCTCTCTCTCTCTCTCTCTCTCTCTCTCTCTCTCTCTCTCTCTCTCTCTCTCTCTCACACACACACACACACACGGGGGGGGGAGGGAGAGAGTCTGGTTTGGTGGCTTTTTGTCCTCCACATGAGGTTTCTACATGGCAAAGCTTTTAGTCAACACTGTTGTGTATACCCAGAGACTAACATTACTGGACTGCAAACAGGATCCGCTGCCAATCCCTACAATGTTTGGACCCTGCCACCCACAGCTGTTTTGTTGCTGTCTACTAATCTGAGTCTGTCTAATCTGATGAACATAAGCAAACCGGTGAGATGGAACAAGAGCCACTGCATAGGTTATTCTCTCTTGAAGAGGTGGCGCGGATCAGGCCAAGGAAACTATTGTTCTCCTATTCAGCTTATAACGGAGATAAGTAGTCATCAATATTATGAAGTATCAGGAGACCCTCATTGTACCTGTATAGGAAGGAAACCAGGTCTGAGCCTTATTCTGCACCCCAGCCTCACCATTTGCCAGGTATTGGATGAATCTAACTACACTTTCTGTTCTTCCTTCCCTCTTTTCTAGTTACTTTTTAGTTTACTATAAAGGGAATCTTATATTTTGCCAAGAGGTTTTTGTTTGCGTGTGTGTGTGTGTGTTTTATACCATTTCACATTTTTTCCATGATGACAGTCTCCCCGTGAGACTATAAACAAACAGATAAGCAAAGTTAAAAGAGAATTGGCGGATGAGCAAGCTGATGGGACGATAAAACCCAAAGCAAAGAAACTTCAAGAATGCTGTTTTTGGCTCAGGAGGGCCCAACACCATGTAAACAAGGTTGACATTTTAGAAGCAATTCAAAGGGTAAGGCTTCAAATGCAAAGGAGGGCACAACATAAACCAACACTATGCAAGCATGCACTGCCATAGATTACAGCATGAACAAATCTTTGTTCAGCAATACATAGTTATGAAGGTTGAAAGCCTCATTAGCAAAGCTCTGGTATGGAACAGGAATTGTACCCTCTGAGGGTGACAAGGACTAAAAACATGTGGAAGTTTTATTTACAACCTCACATACTCTCTGCAGTCTGAGTGACTGGGAGGGACTTTTCTAGGCTGTGGCAATTCTCTATCCAGCTTTAACCAACTGTCCCCCCCACCAGGTTTTGAAATTCAGAACGAGCCCCTGCCTCTTTGCTGGGGGTTCTATCCCTCTCACCAGTTGGTGGCAGTTGCTTGTTGCTGTTGACCTGTTTGGTCGGTTTCTACTACCTGTGCAGTAAAGAAAGCTGTGTATTACAAGTCTGTAATTTCTAGCAACTGTAAGTAAAGAAATATATTTTTTTACTCTTTCTCCTATAAATATTCAAGATTGAGTTATTGAGATTTTAAGTGTCCATTAATGAGAAAGGGGCAGATTTTGAAGAATGTTTAACTATTCTCCTCTGTTGATCTCTGCACCTCTGCTGTGTAGCAAAAAGTATTTTACAAGAAATTAAAAACTCTGCAACAAAAGGAAGGTCTTAGTTTTAATACACACTTACCTGGGATAATTCCTCTTGCACTCAGAAGGACTTATTTCTCCCTAGACATGTATAGAATTGGGTTGCAGAAGACTCAATCTACATACTGACAAATCAGAAAGCAAAGGCAGTGGTGTGTGAGAATCATGGAGAAATTTGGACATGCTCTCAGAGTATATTGCAAAGGAGGACATAAGCCTGGGCATATCAAAATGTGGTGACAGAATAGATTTTACCATATCAAGCTACAGGCAAGGAAGCTTGTGGATCAGGATGGGGAGGGTGCCATCTGTCCCATTCACAAGCCATCCACAGCTACAGCTATGTAGGAATGAAAACAGCCGCCATCACCTCACCTGCAACAGAGAGAGCAGATAAAGCTAGAATACATCAAACTGTCTTGAGGGGATAGCTTTCCAAGGAGGTTTCTTTTTCTTTCACCTAAGGGAAAATAAAAAGACACCCCTTACCTGCTGCCCCCCAATAACACAATCCTGTCATTTCATTCTTCTGCATCTATAGACACAAGAAAGAACACAAGATGGCATTTCTTCCATTTGCTATCGAGGTTCACTTTGCAGCTTGGAGTGATCTGCTAAAATTTAGCCAACTGCTATCTGGAGATATTCAAATTGTCTAACTATAAAATGTTCTTCCCAATAATCTACCCCCCTTTTGAAAAGTTTTTGTGTTGCATTGTTTTCTTTTGTACTGTATTGTAGTAGATCACTAAACATTCTGACAAGTGAAATTTAGCAGTGGTCTAGGAAAATTTCATTGCTCATGTCTAAGATCTGTTTCTGGGCAGTGGCTTTAAAGATAGGTGGGTATAAGTACAATAATGTCTGGTTATTATGCATAGAAACCTGAACCTGTTCTAGCACAGTCCCACAGCAAGCAGTGAACAATGGAAGTGGCTGGAGTTAGTATGTTGTTCTTTTTAAGCAAAGGTCTGTCATCCGTTGGAGCAACACTGCAGACACAAAGCCACCATCTTCTCACCCCTTTTTGTTGATTTACTTTGGTGGGCAGCCGTTCCCTCCAGGATGTTGAGCAAAGCCATTTTCCATTACCTGCTGCTAATGATTCTTTTTGAAATGTGAGATGCCAGAAACAGAAGGTGAGCACCCTCATGGTCTGAGCCTGATCCGGCAGGCATGATGATGATAATAAGGAGGGGATAACCAGGAAGAGCCAGGCCTAGCATCAAGTAAAAAGAGGCAGGTGTTGCAGGCGGCACAGCCTGGAAGGTTGATGCATGCTATTGCGAAAGACAGCCATTGCCATGAGGCCTCTCTGCCGCCCCCTAAACTACTTTGGTACCCCTTCAGCTGTGCTGGAGGTTACTGTCCCATTGGCAGCAGTAAAGAATGAGTCAGCTGCCAGTCTAGTCAGCTTTTGGATATGGAATGGGAAGGGCCCACATCTTGTGCCTTGCCTCAGACAGCAGAACCATTACTAGGGGAGGGCAGCCAGGACTTTGTTATAGGGTGTCAAGATTCAGAGAGCACAAAAAAATTGCTGCAGGAGGCCTAAGCACCCACCCAAAGTTGCAAAGTTGCCCTCTTTAAGTATGGATACTTCTCCAGCTGCTTCTCTTTGGGCAGAAGGAAACACAAGGCAGGTTCAATGTAGAATCATAATATTGTCAAGAGTTTACTGTAGGTCCAGGCTATCCTCCCCACTCCCATTTTGCTGTCCTGCTGCTGCTCAATGGCAATCTCAGTGACCAAGACTTGCTTAATAAGGGAGCAAAGCTCTGCTAGACAGGAAAGTGTCTTGGGCTGGACCTGTTGCCACAGAAGTTGTGTTGATTCTATAATGGAGGATGAAGAATGTCTCCATGTTTTAGTCTGAATGCTAAGGGGCTCATCCATAGTGCTGAACCTTTTTTCGCTAGAGGGTAGGGTCCACCACCTTAGTTAGCTCCTCTAAAGTTTGGACAAAAATCCAGAGTGGCTGTCGTGATATCAGAATCGCCAGCTTCTGCTGCCCTGGTGAGAAGGTGCAGTAAAAGGCCACATCCTTGACTGGTGCCACCCAAGCTTCTGTTAAAGACATGCAAACAGGCCAGGCTGATTTGATTCCTGTTTAATTAGGCACACTACGAAATGAAAGCAACTACAGAAGCTGTCACTGCCTCAGGCCCTCTGCATTCCATGGAACAGATTGTTTATTTCTGTGTCCCACTGGCATTTCATTCAACTGACATTTTCTAACCAAATAGCACCATTGAGTTCTGACCTTTTTTGGGGCTGGGACCACGCTAAGTAAATAGTTTGCAGCCAATGTGGACTCTCTGCATTAGCGTAAGCCATGGTAATGGGTGTTATAGGGCTCTAATACGAAATAGCTTCTGTGCAGCAATTAAATGCTCACATAATTCTTGGTTTTATAAGCTCTAGGAAAGAGATTAACTCCATTTGTGCCCAGGATTGTATCTGGTGGTGATTTAGAGCTATGCCCCATTAAGAAAATTAGTAAATTTAAAGTTTCTCTCTCTTTGCAATCACATAATTAAATATTATTGCTACCTTCTATTTATTTTGGGAAATAAACGTAAGGAGAGAAATGCCGTAAAAGGCACTACTGTTTATTACAGCCATTCCTAAACGATTGATAGGGGAATGGTTGTGACCAATGTTCTCTGGAAGGTGCATGCGCAGGCACACAGAGCTCCCGGGGTCGATGCCTTTTTACGTGCAGGTTTTGGATGAAACCCTACACCCTACCCCCCNGCCCCCACACAGTGGGGATGAAAATCAGAGAAAATGTTGCTTGTGACTTATTTCTTGTATGCGGGACTGGCTTGGGATTTTTATTTTATTTTTTATTTTTGCCTGAGGTGGAGCAGTAAATGATGCCCTTGCACCCACCCAATTCAAGATACATAGCACTTGAAGTTTACCATTTTGGCATCTGAGGTAGAAACTTCCATAAGAACCTCTCATGGTCCCCTGGCAAGAATAACAATTTAAATAATAAAAATAATGTGATGCCATTTTGTCCCCCCACCCCAATTTGTTAGCCTGTAGCATTCTGGCCAGTGAGGTGCCCAGCCCTCATTCCCTCAGGGAAGGACCAACATTTGGAGGATATTGCATATAAAAGCTTGGAGAAGCACATTCCTCCCCCTCCCTGTGAATTAGTAACCATGGCTGGCAAACACAGTTGCCTAAAAGTAAGACCCATTTGACACAATGAAACTTAAATGTCTTTCAAGACAACTTACAAAAGACTGGATAGATATTCATACAAATCTAACCACTGAAAACTTCCCTGGCATGTAAAAAAGTGGGTGAAAAGAAGCTGTGTGATGGCCTGCTGCTAAGAGCTGGGCTCCCCCCACCCTAAAACAAAGTTTCAATTTTAACTACTCAGGCCCTCACTGATGACCATTGAGCCTTGGCCAGCATTTGCCCTATAAAGATTTCTGGGGTTGTAGTCCAACATCTCTAAAGGGCATATTGTTGTCATATTGACCTGTAGTAAATAATGACTCTTCCAAACAATGGCCAAATTCTGAATTAGGAAAGGGCTGGAAGTTCACCCAGACTGGTTTCTTTCATTGACTTTTGGCTGTGATAAACATATGGACTCTACTTTATAACTTCTTTTCTTGCTTGCTTCTCGCTCAGTGTACATTTCCTATCAGACATTATTTATTTATTTATTGTTTCAATATATATATCACTTCATAGTGCTGAAGCACTCTCTGGGTGGTTTTGTACACCATAATTATGCTAACAACTTGCCACCCAGTGAGCTGGGTACTCATTTTACTGACCTCAGAAAGATGGAAGACTGAGTCAATCTTAAGCTGGCTACCTGAATCCATTGGGGTTGAACTCAGGTCATGAGCAAAGAAGGTTTGGCTGCAGTAGTGCAGATTAACCACTGCCCCGCAATTTAGAATATTGTGTTGGAATGCCTAACTGACAGTAATTTGGCTGTAGAGTAGCACATGAAGAAGCAAGTTTTCCCCCGTGTGAGGCTCCCAGGGCT